AGATACTGTATATGTAAATGTGTATATATATATACATACTCTTTATATATATATAAAAAAAAAAAAGCCATCACATCTAAATTCTTTCCGGTTTTGGGGAATGGCAAGGAGATTGATAACTGCATATTTTAGACTACATGCAACTTGCTAAGCAAATATCTTCCTGAGTTTTTTGGCAGGTTTCAACACATAAATAGTTGAAAACAAAATGGAATTAGATGGAATTTGCCTTGTTTTATGCTTTTTCTCAGTTTACACATCAGTCAAGACTTTGTTTTATTGAAGATGATGGTATCAAGCATATTATGTGCCTTTCCAAGCATCGAAGTTTGCAATTTACTTATTACTTATTTACTCTTACTACTGTTTCATGGGAGACTCTTGAATATTGTATTTTTTTACTCTTCTGATGAGGTTTTTTCAGGCATATTATTTGGATCTCATTACATTTTTCATTTCTACTTTCCTGGCATAAATATATAAACTCCGCACATCTAGGCTGATGAAAGTAATACAGGAAAGAATGCTAAAATGTGGTAAATTCCTTTTCATTTTATCTGAACAGAATTATGCATCTTAAAAGAATAATCTTTCTTCTCTTTCTAGGACTGAAAGGTCATACAGATTAACATTCTAAGCAACATTTAAGTTTATTAAAAAAAGAAATAGAACTGTCATTTGATTTAAAGCTCATGAATTAAGGTGACATAATCACATAAAAAATGGAATAGAGAAAGGTATTAAATATTTTTTATAACATATACTCTGTTACTGGCAGCATACGTTATTATGAAATGATAAATGATGCATGACTCTCTCACTTTCTTCACTCGTTATGTCCATAATCACAAACCAAAGCATTGCTCGAAGAACATTATCACAATGGGGTCAGCTTAGCTCCTTTTAATTCGTTATCCGAGTCATCATCATAAGCTCACTGAACATTAAAACTGTACTTGATCTGGTTTTTAGACTCTCTGAATTTATTATGCAATTAGCAAAAGAAAATTGAGGGGAAAAATTGCAAAAAAAATTGCAAGATTTATGAATTCTTGCTTAACGTGTGAATTTAAAGGTAGATAGAACATAGTAGAACAAAGTCAATCATATCATTTACTCTATGGTTAGTAGGGAGACCTCAATGGGGAAAAAACGTTTTCATTGAGTGGTAAAGAGATACTTCAAGCACCATAACTACTGATGTGCACGTTTTTGCTCACTTAATTGTCAACATATAGATTTATATATGTACTTACCTCCTACTCTATGTGAAATCAGGTTTTTGGGCATATTCATAATTCAGTACCAAGTTTTAAAATTTCCCTTTCTAAACTAGAGCACTAATGACAGTTGATTGTTTGGTTTACATGATACACTTTTTATCAATACGTCACTTCTATTTCAATGTTTTTTTCTCATTTTATTCTCCATCCAAAATGTATGCGTTGGGTTCTTCTTTTTAAACTCATGTCTATCACAAAGCAGTAGCCTCAACTCTGTTATTGGAAGAATAATAGATATATTTTTACTACAAGCAGTGGTCACTACATAATTATTGTATTTTAAACAGGCTGCAAAATGAACTATCATAAAAATGACTTTACCTAAAGTCCTACCACTACGATTAGCCACCATTCCTACCAGGCCTGCCCATGCAAAAACAATCAGTTGTTTTCCGATGAAGTGCCACGAAAGGCACAAAACGCATTAGCATCCTCTACCTGGTGCATTGTCCACTCTTGTTTCCTAGCCATGTATTTTTAAATGAAGAAAAAAGGTATTTTTATTCCTTTTTTTTCTCACTGCTGACTTGCCCATATTTGTTCTTCGAAATCTGGCTTCCATTTTTTATCTAGTAACAATTGGTTGCCCCCAAGAGTCCGATGTCTAAGTGGTTACACTAAAAGCCCTAAGTACTTGTACAGCTCACAGATTATTTATGGCGAACATGCATACCATATCATGTAATTGTTTAACAGGATGGGACAACAAAGCAGAAAAAAAAAACACATGAAAGATTGATATGAACAAATATTGCAAATATAAAAGCAGTTTTGTTCAAATGAGATGTATTCAACCATTATTATTGTGCATTATATTTTATAGTGCCAACAAATACCAGAACATTGGAATGTATAGTATATAGTGTACACTGAGGTCTAGATGCTATTATCACCTATCCTTTAAAGATATGCACTGTACAAAGCTTAAAAAAAGATAAAAGGTTGAGTTAATCTTACTGGGAATTGTACCTGTGACTTTGAAGTCCTCCAACTGAAGCTTTTTTAGTTTCTGAGTGGATGCCTCAACATTTTTTACACATCTATTTTTTTAACTCCCCCCACCCTCCAAAAATGTATACATTAGATACATAGTCACCTGTACATTATGGGAGAATAACACCATTGAAGGGTACTGGAAAAATCATAGGAAATATGTGGTTTAGGAATATCTCTAGAGATGGCAATTCTTCCCCCCTTATAGCACGTTGCCATTGTTTCTTTTATATTAAATTATATAAGTGTTAAAGTAGTGTAGAGGTTAATATTGTTAGGGTAGTGCAGGGGTTAATATTTAATGATAGTGCAGTGCAAGGGGTTATTGTGTAGCAGTATAGCATAGGGGTTAATGTTTAGTGACAGTGCTAATTTGCATGATTAGTTATATGACTTTGACATCACAGAAAGCAAAATAAGAAATTTGGAAGTGTAGAATTCCTACTTCACTAAACATATTCAAAGAATAAAACCACAAAACTGTAAATAACAAAGATCACTTGTATTTACTGAACAAAAACCAATCATGTCTGATAGCCACCCATGATAGCAATATAAGAAAGGATTATTATCTAATTGAATTAATCACAGATTAACTCTGAATAGCACCATTTAGGCAAAACCAACTAAAATAAATTGTGACTATGGCTGAGTTTGAGAATTTTTCCCAACCTGCTATTTTTGCCTTGGTTTTTTGATTCAGAATTAAGTAACAAAAATTCTGATATATATATATATTCCACGATTCTGCACTCACATTTGTAGTATAAGTGCCACGGTTCTCTTTCAGCAAATCAACAGAAATCTCCATGAAGAAAGGCACACGCTGGGCTTTTTTAAGAAAATTATTTGTCTTTATTCATAACACACGGGTTACAGCAAATCGACGTTTCAGTCCATAATAGGACTTTCATCAGATTATAAACAAAATTATTATAATGTAATAAACATGCAAAAATATGTGTGTGTGTGTGTGTGTGTGTGTATATACATATATATATATATATATATATATATATATAATTTGTGCTCGGGCCACATCCTTATGGTGAATGCAAGACTGTGTTGTGGTGTAAACTGTTATAGGAAAAAGTCGGTTGAGATGTGCCGGAAACCGACAACGATGTGATAGGGCTCTAGATAAAAGTGGGCAAAAAGAAAGAAATTACCATGTCGTGTAAATATATCGAGACAGTGAACATAATGCAATGGATATCCTGTACAGGTTGTGATATATACAATGTATAGACTTATAACATCCATCGACCCAGTGACTTTAGTGATATGTACTGGAATGTCTGGCTGGGTGTTGTAAAGCTGCCACCATCTGAGTCAAGTAAAGTGGATATGTCTTTGAATTAATTGATTATGGACTCAGTGTTTGGTGAGTGGTAGGAGCACAAGGTTAGAATATACCATTAAGTATCGTCTTGATTGGATAGGATGAAAGGAAACAGGTGTTGTTGTAAAGTAGAGAACATGTGATGTTGGATGCCAGTCACTTGTAACATGATGATATTGTGAACCTAAATTTAAAGTGGCAAACATTAGTGAATGCTACCAGATACATAAGAACCAACATTATGAATGTCATGTTCCATTAAGAAACTCTTGAATAATGAGAAGACCCTGCCGTAGGATCGATGAGTATTATTAGGTAGCGCCATTTAGTCAATACTAGGCTAATTATCTAAACCTCAATAGATCCTTTGTAGGTCAGAGCCGAAGGTAAGTCTGTGCAAATAGTACAGGCTTGCCAGGAATACTGTGCAGATGCCATAGAGATGGGTGAATGGGTAGTAATTGAAGACATTATGGCAAATGAGCAACGCTAGCAGAGATATCATGACAATTGAGTCTGTAATATGATGTACTAATACGTAGCCAGAAATACTTAAGCAGGGAGCATAAATGTATATATCGTAAGTGAAGAAAACAGTTGAACATATAGGTAGGGTGGACCATGCGCTGGTCAAGCAAAAGAGTCATGTCACTTGTTGGCCCATGAATCCAGTTGTATAACCAAAATATGTAGGATTGGTGTGTGCCCCAATGATTGAACTAACCTGTCAAGACAAACTTAGAGGCAATGAAGGACCACTTACCTGTGATGTGAATAGTAAAGGAGAGACATGTGACAGCAATCGCTGTTAGACCACTAAGGACACAACATGAAATACCTTAGAACCTAGAGGTGCAATACCGTGCACCTTGAAAAGCAGAATCCGCCAGACATGTGAGTCCTACAAGGGCTAAGGAAATTGTTGTAACCATGTAAGAGACAACTAATATAGGCCTTACAAACAACTGAGGGGTAACGCAAGTGACTAGACCAACCCAGGTTGCCACTACCCGCATAACGTAAATCTTAACCTAATAGTACTGAGGCATATATTAAAATTACAATAATGATGAAACTTTGGAAAGTAAGTGAACCATGAACCCGTCACATGTATAAGCCCCTGTGCCTGAAATTAATGGAATAGCCCAAGACAGATAAGTGAAAAACGTAGGTAGGAGTTTAATATAGTGAGGGCCAAGTTGATGAAACCAACTTATATAGGGGAAATAACAGAGTAGAAAGGGTTGAGAATTGTCCCGAACGGTTCGCCAAACGGTTCGCCGAACGGTTCGCCGAACGGTTCGTCACGAACATATGCGCTGTTCGATCCGCCCTCTATTCGTCATCATTGAGTAAACTTTGACCCTGTACCTCACAGTCAGCAGACACATTCCAGCCAATCAGCAGCAGACCCTCCCTCCCAGACCCTCCCACCTCCTGGACAGCTCACTAAGAATGCAGCTTCACAATGAATGTAAAATGGATGCTGTCCAGGTGGGAGGGTCTGGGAGGGAGGGTCTGCTGCTGATTGGCTGGAATGTGTCTGCTGACTGTGAGGTACAGGGTCAATGTTTACTCAATGATGACATAGGGGGTGGACCAAACAGCGCATATGTTCGCCACCTGTAGCGAACCGTTCGGGACATCACTATTGAGAACTATAAAATGTCAATACGTAAGAAAACCGGAAAATAGCATAAGTAACTAGCATCAGTATCAACAAGAATAAACAATGAAAAGTATATACATGGACCATAATGGCGGACAATCAAGCTAACAAGTGTATGTGAAGCAACCAACAACCCCTAATCAGTATAACTAAACTAAAAGAAACCCCTTGTGAGCAGATGAGTCCCATGAGGGCTGTGTTAATGTAAGTATGGTGAATGTATAAACACGTTAATTTAAATAAGTGAACCATATGTGTAGGCCTAAGTTGGGCCTGAAATGAATACTATAGTTAATTGCGACACTCAGCCATGGAGAGGGCCAAGATGATATGTCCCAGTAAGGGGCCTAATACTAGAAGCTGAAGAATTGTACGTATTGGTGTGCCTGAGCCTGCACAGTACCGCTATCCTGGCTGCTGCTTGAAAAGGCAAGTCGCACTTGCGAAGCTAAGCCGTATCCAAGGAATGGGTTAATGACCAGATAGAAGCCAGACTATTGGCATTACCTATCAATTAGGTGTAGTGGACCCGACTTTGGAGTACAAGGGATTTACATGTCATCACCTTTGGCAGGGATCTGAGACATACTGAAATATAGTAACAATTAACCTGGATCAGGATTGTTTAACTGGCAAGCTAACTAGTGCCAAGTGGTGAAACCATTCACTAGGTTGGTGATGGGTGAGGCCCTGCTGGTTGCCAAGTGGCATGAGAGGCTCTGCCCATAAGTTGTCGCGAGGGGATTCATGGCCACCAAACATTGTGGTGGGGTGGTACGTACGAGCCAAAGGACTTAGCATTGTGCATAGCATTCTAAGACAAGCATTAGTAAGAACAAAAGTGCGAACTGAGTGAATATGTCCAGATACAGCTTCTGACCTTATGCGGGGATTCGTTTTACAATGAACGAAAGTATGCGAATATCACTTGAGGACACGAAAACCCCATACGTCCACAGGGCCTTCATGCCCGCGTGATCGACAAAAACATGTGACCGCATTCATGTGTAACGAGCCAAAAACCCTGTTCATATAGAAGAGCCGAACGATGTGTTTGTATGGCTGAAACTACGAAAGCAATCCGAACAACAAAGTATACATGAATGTAAAGTATACTTGAATGCAAATAGCATGGTAGCAAAGTGTGATGACGGCCAAGCAAGGGCACTGGCGTGACAGCCAGACAGAGGGTCGGAGGTAGGCAAGAGCTTCCGGGTCAGTTGGCTGTACGGGAGCAACGCCGGACGGGCTGACAGCAGCGAATGGACCTGTGCTGAAGGAGAATCCAGACAGAATGAACCAGCCATGCCGATCCGATTCTGGACACCGTAGAGCAGGAGACAGAAGCGTTCCCCGGACAAGTAAGTAGCGAAATGGCGGTCTGCATGCACCGGAAGTAACAGCATGCAGATCACCAGACCATCAACAGTATGGTAGGAAAGGGGGGAGTCCCTTTATAGGTCACACAAGCCCCTCCCACAATTCCAAGAAAAGCCAATATATATATATATATATATATATATATATATATATATACATATATATATAAAGCAAAAAGTCCTTTAGCAGACAGGCTAAAGGGTTGTAAATACCGGGTGCCAGACAGGGATGAAATTATCCAAGTCAAAAGGGGAAAAGGCTGCTCTCACGGTCTTCCATAAAACTTTATGGAAGACCTTGAGTGCAGATTTTTCCCCTTTTGACATATATATATATACATATAATGGGTACGCATGTTGAGAGGAGGGGAAATATAATAATTTATTTTCATAATTTATTTAAAGGCAATATTAACTAAAAAAAAAAGTACCTGCAATAAAGACAACATCTTGGGTTCCATGGAATGAAATACACATCTTACACTTAGTAGTGGGTTTTATTTTATATCTCCCACCTCCGACATCCTAAGAACCAGGGATGCAATTATGTCATTGGCTCCACTTGGAATAGGAGCGATCTGCCAAAATTACGGGCACGTCAGCCTGGTGTGTATGCCTGCCAATCATATAAGGCCAGCCCACTGATGGTAGACCATGCATGGAGTACTGTTTCAGTGATCTGGGTGATTTTTGGATATGTTGTTCACCCAGATCAGGGCTATCATGGGATGTTTTTGAGGTACTTTTGGGGTTTCGTAAAATGTTTTTTTTTTTGCCTGGAGATAATTGGCTTAATACAGTATCTGATACAATTATCTCACAGGCAGAGGGGAATGTCGTACATTTAACTACTGTTCTGATTGGTTTGTAACAATTGTCATCCTATCCCCCACAGGTCCATGTGGGTGTTCCCTTGCATGGGGACTTGCATAAAAGACCAGCTGTGGCTCCCATAAAACGAGATGCTTTACCCCTTCATGAAGTCTTGGCTCATGTTTGGGGGATTGGAGAACTACACTCTGGGGATTGCTATATCACAATACTCCCCTGAGTATAATCAGTAGCTCTTATAAGAGCCGTTCCTTCTACGCTCTCGGGACTAAGAGAGGCCTACCTACTGGAAGCTGGATCCTGGTCTTGGGTCCAGGGTGGGTGGAGGACGGGAGACCCCAACCAACCTGCGGCGGTTCATGGAGTTTACGGTGGTTATGGTGTTCCAGTGCAGTGCTTATAGTACTAGCCAGTACAGAGATTGACAGAGGTACCCAGTCAGGGTGCCAGGTAGTCCATCACATGATCAATAAGCTATTACCTCACTAATTAAAATGATATCCCTTCATATTATGTTTTTGTAAGTATTTATCCAATGGCTGTGTCTGTAGACTCTGATAAAAACACCTCTTAAGGCAGAGAATTCCACATACTTATTGTTCTTACTGTAAAAACCCTTTCTTTCTTCCAGTCAAAATGAATGTGTGTCCGATGTATAGTCATGTTTATGAATAGATTTCAAGACAATAGTTTGTATTGACCACAAAAAGAGTTGAGTGAACCTGGACTGTAAAGTTCGGGTTCGTACCGAGCATTACGGTTTTTGGACCCCGGACCCGAACAAGGACATATCACTGTATGTTCAGGTTGGAGTTCGGTGTTCGGCGATTTAATGGCGCGTTTTGAAAGGCTGCAGGGCAGCCAATCAATAAACGTTTGACTCGTGTGCCCTTAGAAGCCATCACAGCCATGTCTACTAATGGCATGGCTGTGATTGGCCAGTGCAGCATGTGACCCAGGGCTCTATATATAAGCTGGAGTCGCGTGGCGCCGCACGCACATGAGCTCTTATTAGTGTAGGGAGAGGATGCTGTCGCTTTCAGGGACAGATTAGGAAAGAATTCTGCAAACTAGTACATTAGTGGGGTGCACTTCATATGTGAGAGTCAAATAGAAGCGTCAAATAGAAGCGTCAAATACTGCGGTTACATCTGAGTTTTAAAAGGTCAATTTTTTGGGGTGCCAAATAGTACATTTGTGGGGTGCACTTCATATCTGAGAGTCAAATAGAAGTGTCAAATACTGCTGTCACATTGCAGTTTTAAAACAAAATATTTTGGGTGCTAAAAAGTACATTATTGGGGTGCACTTCATATCTGAGAGTCAAATAGAAGCATCAAATAGTGCAGTTACAGCGCAGTTGTAAAAATTCTAATTGTTTTGCTGCTAAACTGCTAAATAGTAAATTTTGGGCATGCTCTTCATATCTGAGAGTCAAATAGAAGCATCAAATAGTGCGGTTACAGCGCAATTGTAAACATTCTTATTTTCTGGGTGCTGATCTGCAAAATAGTACATTAGTGGGTACACTTCATATCTGAGAGTCAAACAGAATCGTCAAATAGTGCGGTTACAGCGCAGTTGTAAAAATTCTAATTGTTTTGCTGCTAAACTACTACATGGTAAATTTAGGGCGTGCTCTTCATATCTGAAAGTCAAATAGAAACGTCGAATACTGTGCTTACAGCGCAGTTGTAAACATTCTAATTGTTTTGCTGCTAATCTGCTACATAGTACATTTGGGGTGTGCTCTTCATATCTGAGAGTCAAATAGAAGCATCAAATACTGCGCTTACAGTGCAGTTTGACAAATTCAATTTTTTTTTGGGTGCTAAATAGTACATTTGCGGCCTGCACTTCATATCTGAGAGTCAAATAGAACCATCAAATACCAATGTAACAATATTGTAAACTTATTTGTAATGTAAGTTTATAGGGAAAACTGTTGCCTGGACACAATTCTAAAACAATTCCCATATGTCCTTTGCAGAGTTTACATGCTGGAAAAACACAGGTGCCAACTGCTGTGGCTTTCTGCAGTGTGCAGACAGGCAAGGTGGGCAGGGTTGAGGAGTGGGTGGAAGATGATGTGGAGGATGATGAGGTCCTAGACCCCACATGGAATCAAGATCATGCGAGTGACGTGTGCAGTTTGGAGGAAGAGGCGCTGGTCGCACAGAGGCACCAGTACAGCATAAGAAGGAGCAGGGTGCAAAAGCGTAGCGGCCGTCCCCTAGCGCTCGTCGTCATGTATTAGGTCGAGAATTACCGGTTATCCAAGTAACAGATGTAGCGATCAAAGGATCCATAATAGAGTTGAGCGAACCCGAACTGCAAAGTTCGGGTTCATACCAGATTTAACAAGCCAATCGTAGTTTCACAGTCAGGAGGGCAGTCCGGTGACCGGGACCCAGACACAGTCTGGGCGGCAGTCAGATGACCGGGACCCTGTATGCCTGATGTTGAAGTTAGGAGTCACAGTGTGGAATGTATTAGCAGGGTCTGGTGCAGGGTAACCGCACGACCCCTGGTGTTGAGCACCAGCGTTTGTGCGGCCACATACCAGGACCCTGATGCAGCTTCAGTAAAAAGAGTACTGGATACCAGAAGCCATCACCAGACTGATCCGCAACTTAGAACAGGATGTGACATTCACTGTAGCGGCTGTTCACGCTTTCGGTGTTCTCACCCTGCTGCTGCTCGCCTGTCTGCGCTGCAGCATAACTTTGGCCTTCCCACTCACTGCCTCATATGCGAGGTGCCCACAAGGTGGAACTCCACCTTGCACATGCTGGAGGGACTGTGCGAGCAGCAGCAGGCGATAGTGGAGTTTCAGCTGCAGCACGCACGGGTCAGTCGCTCTGCACCAGACTTGCCCTCCAATTGATCATAGTTAAAGGATTTCAAGTGGACTCATTACAATAACAGGGCCTTTAAAGAGTCCTGTATTGTTATTTGTCGTCACTACCTCCCCGAGTCGGGAGTAGGTAATTTGCGCGCCTGCTGCCTTCCTTGGATGTGGTGGCCGTTTCTCAGGTTCCCTCTCTGGAATCCAACCCTGGTTACCCGTGGTCACCATGGTAGGCACAGAAACTGGCATCGAAAGTTGATAGGGCAGACATCCGAATGCAAAGTCGCCATCCCGGGGACGTGCGATTGGCCCGAGATTCTATAGAGTCAACAAAGTGCCTGCGCAACTATAATGTCGACAGCTACTCTGCCGAACGGATCTTCACTAATAGGTAGGGGATGGACGAGGGCCCTGTGCCGGTCCCTTCTCTTCCCCACTCTCTGGCAGACATCTGGCAGTACTACCTCAGATCCTGAGAGATGCCTGGCCAGAAGAAGCTGTGGGTGAGCCGAGACACTGTCCGGCTCCTGCCCAAATGCCCTGCCAAGGGTATATCGTGAGCTAGCTTCAGCAGCTCTTACCAATACTTCTTGGGTCTGGGGCTGGCGGTCTCTCACCAGCCCTGTCATTGGGGAGCCCATTGAAAAAGTGCTCTAGCATGACGAGCTGGGTGATCTCCTCCGGGAACTTGGCTTGATGGGAGTTGAGGCAGTTCTGGGTGGCCCTTGTGATGCGGCATGCCCACTCCGCATGGGAGTCCTTCTCCCCTTTCCGGGTCTCCGTAAACTTTTGGCGGTATTGTTCGGGGGTGACCGCATACCGGGCCAGGAGGATTTGGGTGATAAAGGGATAGTCTCTGATATGCTCTTCTGGTACAGCCAGGTAAATATCCGCTGCCTTCCCCACTAGTTTGCTGGCCAGGATGGTGACCCAGTCGCTGGGGACCATGTCTTGGAGTAGGCACTGGCACTCAAAGTCTTGTATAAAAGTCATTGATGCCTTCTTCTGCTTCCTTGAAGTCTTTGAAGGCATTGTATGGTAGCTTGTGGGCCAGGGTGGTTGTACTTCCCGGCGCCCTCTGCTCCCTTCTTCCTTCATCTAGGTTCATGGATGTCACCCTCTGTCAGGACCAAAAAGGTCCTGCTGACAATCTCCTCTGAGGGTGGCTCTCGGTAATATGCCAGGCGCCGTTACACCTCCTTGCGCACTTCCTCCTCATCTCCGGCCCCTGGCTGGGGTTCGTTGCCTCACTGCGTGCCTGGTTGTCCTCCATGAGTGCAGCAGTCAATTCGGCCTTGTCACACCCACCAGGCATTATTCCGCTGGCTCCACACAAGTCCTGCAGTGTAGGTCACTTTAGAGCACTGTAGTCCATGGGTTGGCAGGGAAATGGGATCACGCCGCTTGCAACCAATTGAAGTGGGACCTGGGTAACCGATGGTTATCCCCTTTGATTAGAATAGGTCAAGCCCATTTGCCCAGTAACCGGATGGGACACAGTTCCAGGATACAACATTTGACAATCTTTATTTGGGTACACAGCTTTGCCTCTTGTTGCCTCCTGTTGCCTCCTGTTGCCTCCTCCTCCTACTCAGCTTCTTCCTCCTCCTCCTCTACCAGTCAGCATAACACCTTCACCACTAACTTCAGCACAGCCAGGGGGAAACTCATATGTTTTGGGGAAAAACCCCATACCGTGCAGGTGCTGTGGGCGGCTAAGTTACTAAGGCAAGCAAGGTAGTTACTAAGGCAAGCAAGGTATTGCCTCTATTTATACATGACAATACCTTGCTTGCCTTAGTAACTACTGGTTGACATTGCATATAGTTGCCTAGCTTGTATTCTATAACAATTCCTAAATCCTTCTCCTGTGTTCTTATCCCTAATTCACTACCATTTAGGGTATACGTTGGTTGTGCATTCTTTACCCCAAAGTCCATAACTTTGCATTTTTCTACATTAAATGTAATTTGCCATTTGAGTGCCCAGTCCCCCAGTCTTTCTAAATCCCTCTGCAGCAAAGTAACATCTTGCTCACATTGTGTTACTTTACAGAGTTTTGTGTCATTTGCAAACAATGAAACATGGCTTTCAATGCCTATTTCTACATAACTTATAAAAATGTTGAATAGAAACAGTCCCAGAACAGAATCCTGAGGGACACCACTTACCACTTTTGTCCAGCTAGAAAATTTACCATTAATGACAACGCGCTGTACTCTTTAAGTCAGTCTACTATCTTTAAGTCAGTCTTCTACCCAAGAGCAAGAATTTTTTCATCTATGCCAATTTCTTTTAGTTTGAATACTAACCTAAGCCTGAACTTTTAACATCACTGTAGCATATAGTGGACAGTAGAGATGTCGCGAACCGTCCGCAGACTTCTCGCGAACGGTTTGCCGCGGTTCGCCACGAGCTGTCCGCGGCGAACTCCGGTCAGCTGACACGTCCCGGCCAATCTCCAGCAGACCCTCCCTCCCAGACCCTCCTACTTCCTGGACAGCATCCATGTTGAAAGGGTCTGGGAGGGAGGGTCTGCTGGAGATTGGCCGGGATGTGTCAGCTGACCGGAGTTCGCCGCGAACAGCTCGTGGCGAACCGCGGCGAACCGTTCGCGAGAAGTTCGCGGACGGTTCGCGACATCTCTAGTGGACAGTGTAAGGTACAGTAATAGTTTTAAGAGACAGACAGGAGAGCTTGGAGCATCAGAAAAACACTAACAGCAGGAAGAGCTAGTCCCACAGTTAGCTGGGCTGCTTAATGTATACAGTGTCGTTGTTGTCGCCAGCAAAATGTTCTGGCAATTATCCGGTGAGGTAGCTCAGTTGGTAAATTCTCTGACTACAAAGCATGTTCAAAAATGCAAGGTCACAGTTTCAAATCCTGGCAGGGTCAACTCAGCCCTTCATCCTCCTGAGGTCGATAAAATGAGTACCATCAATTGGGTAAAAATAACATCTATTCAGCTGCAGATTTGGTAAATTCTGAGAGCGTGCACTGAAAAGTACTTTGAGTCCCACTGGGAGAAAGGGGCTATCTAAATACTAATTATTATATTATCATTGCATTTATGACTTACCTGTACCAGTCAGGCAGCCTCAAAATCCATCCAGGTGTAAGGATTAATATATAGTTACATATTTCAGCTGGTAACATTAAAATGATGGCAGGTGTTACTTAGGGGTATAACTCCTACTAATTTCAAGAAGACTAGGACATGACACTCTGGTTCTGTCCAGGGGCGGACTGAGCACTCGATCAAATCGGTGGCTCTGTGTGGCCCGCCCGCCTGCTTGCCATGCAGTAAAGTAATAGTTAAACAATCTCCCCAGTGTCACGGCAGCTAGTGTGGTCCAACTATAAAATGTGAAACTATGTAAATATATACATACAAAAGAAACGGAAAATAAAAGGACAGAGTGTAAACCGGACCTTAGAATGTCTGGACTAATACGCTAGAGATAGAGAAAGGTCAAAGGGAAAGCAGAGGTCAAGGAAGCCAGAAATACTCAAATATCGTTTAAACAAGCCAAGTCAGGGGAACCAGAATTCAGAATAACCAGGGAAAAGCCAAGATCAGGATACCAGGAAGTCAAATTCACAAAGATAAATGCACTCTCAGGAACCAGGAACAGGAAACCACGACAGGGCAAGGAAGTAAAGTGAATTAGGGATTTAAATATCCCTCTCTGGCTTCTGATTGGTCAGAGGGTGGCCTCTGACCCCAGAACATGCGCGTGCGCTGACGTTGTGATGTCACACGCACGTCTGTATTCATTAGAGGGGCGGAGCTTAAGATGGACGCGACCACGTGGTTCTTTGATTTGGGTGTGATGCCCAGAGAAGGCAGTGGTGCGGCTCGCCGACGAGCAGGTAAGCTCGTGGTGTCGGCGAGACCGTGCCGGTCGGGAGCCGCAACACCCAGCAAGCCTGCAATCAGTCAGGGGCCCCGCACTGCACTCCGCAGGCCCTAGTTACCAAATACATTTCCCCCTTATTCGGCCGGGCACAGTGAGAGACAGCTAAAGGGCCCTCCTAAAGACCCACTATGCTGTCTCTCACTGTGCCTGACTGGTGAGCAGAGCAGGAGAGCTGTCTGTAGTGCTGATCAGGCAGCTCTGTGCGGCTCCTTATAGAGGAAATTACATCATGTGTCAAAAAGCATGCAGAGCTGCCTGATCTGTATTAGAGGCAGCACTTCAGTGAGAGACAGCATGCTCCAGTGCTGCTGGGAGAATGATTAACCCCTCTGGCCAAAGGTAAGGCTCCTCTTCCCCCAGCAGCTCCTCTTCCTTCTACCCACTACTGCCTCTACCCTCTGCTGCCCCTTTGCTCCCTGCTGCCACTTTGCCCCCTACTCCCTGCTGCCCCTCTACTAGTAGACCCTCTGCTGCCCCCTGCTGCTCCTCACCCCATACTGCCCCTCTACCCCCTACTGCTCCCCACCCCTCTACCTCCTGCTGCCTCCCTACTGCCCCTCTACCCCCAGTAGACCCTCTGCTGTCCCTCTGCTGCTCCCACCCCATACTGCCCCTCTACCCCCTGCTGCCCCCCACCCCTCTACCTCCCACCCACTACAAACCCTATACCTACCACAGCCCCTACCCCTACAGCCCCTATACCCTCTACTGCCCCTTTGCCCATTACTCCCTGCTGGCCCCCTTAACCCCTGATGGCCCCTTTGCCCCCTACTCCCTGCTGGCTGCCCCCTACTCCCTGCTGGTACTCCCCTACCCCCTTCTGGCACCCCTTTACCCCCTGATGGCCCCCTACCTCCTTCTGCCACTCTACCCACTTATTCCCTGCTGCCACCCTACTCCCTGCTGCCCCTCTACTCCCCGCTGCCCCTCAATCCCCTCTGCTCCTCTACCCCCAGCAGCCCTTACCCCTACAGCCCTTCTACCTACTACAACCCCTATGCCCACCACAGCCCCCACCCCTTACAGCCCCTCTACCCTCTGCTGCCCCAGCAGACCCCCTGCTGACCCTCTACCCCCTGCTGCCCCTCTAGCCCCAGCACACCCCCTGCTCCCTGCTACCCCTCTACCACCTGCTGCCCCTTTGCCCCCTACTCCCTGATGGCCCCCTTACCTGGTGCTGCCCACCCTACCGCCTGCTGCCCCCCCTACCCCCTGCTGCCCCTCTACCCACTTACTCCCTGCTGGCCCCCTACCTCCTGCTGGCCCCCTACTCCCTGCTGCCCCCCATACTCCCAGGTACTCCTCTACCCCAGCAGCCCTTACCCCTGCAGCCTTTCTACCTACTACAACCCCTATACCCACCACAGCCCCCACCCCTTACAGCCCCTCTACCCTCTGCTGCCCCAGCAGACCCCCTGTTGACCTCTCTACCCTGCTGCCCTTCTAGCCC